ATGAAAATATGACAAAAGTATTTATACCTTGTGGTCGAATTGCCCTCTACTGAGTCCAGACTTATCTGGTTGTCTTATACAAACAAAAGAGAAGGTCCTAAAGGATGATGTATGCCATATGAAAATGTCAGTTTGTCTCCACCCTATGGGACTTGATATCCCCATAAATCTGCACTGTTACAACAGAGCACAGCATTCAGCTAGGATCGCCTTTCTGAATTACAAAATCTGCAATCATTTTTATGGTAATCATGGTAATCTTGAAATATAACACTCACAATAGATGAATATAAGAAATGCTTTCTGTACATATTAGGAAAATTATCAAAATTATTTTAAAGACAGAAATTACTGCCTGAAAGAGTACTATATTACATTTCCATCTATACAGATATTTTCATTATTCATGGTGAAGAAGATAGGGGCCCCGAGAGTGAAAAAAGAAATCTTATCTCTATTGATGAAAAATAATATTCACAGGTTCAAACTATTTTTTTTTATCTCTCTTCACTAGTACACTGAGAGAGAAAGAAAGAAGGAGAAAAACTATGAAGGTATTGGAACTAATAACTCGTTTGTACTTCCAATACCATAGTTGAATGATGTTTTGTATAAATAAAGACTGATGATACACTACCAAATGCGCATGTAAGTTTTCAGGTACAATGAATACATTGTTGAAAAAGATTTGCCACAGAACGGAAAACTTATTTGTACACACGTGAGATGCAGTCACTACTAATTTAATAATTCTAAGACTGATGAACATATCTAGTCAATCATATCATATCCTTGATATAGGATTTCCTATAAACTGCTAGCTTCCATAGTTGTTTGTTCTTTCCAGCCCCCCAATAGCCTGAATTTGAATTTCACGTTAAAATTTTAGGTCCATAATATACATATATACATATAAGAAATACATATATACAATATGAAGTATACATATATATACACATTATACATACATATACTATAGAATACAGACCATTATTAAGATTATATATACATAATTATAATATATATTATACATACATACAAGCCATACATACATTTTATATAATATATATATATATATATATATATATATATATATATAATAATATATATCATATTTTACACCTGTACATTATAACAACACAACAACACATTATAAAATATATACAACACATATACATTAACACACACACCACACAATTATAATATATATACACACACATATACATATATCAACACACATATACATATAATACATATAAAATATATAATAATAATAATAAAAATTAACCATGGTTGTTCCATCCTGGAAAGCATGCCCTTTCCCAGGCATAGTTAAACCGATGAAATTCATGCTGAAGCTTGCGAAAACAAAGCCCTTTTGTGAGGCCGGCTGTGTAATTCGCTAGAGCACTGTGTGCACTCATGAATGTTCACCTCATCTACACCCATTTTCATGAACAAGAATCATGTCACCCATATCCAATTCAACTACATATTTATTATGAAAATTTCGCAGCATCACATCTATGGACATCAGCGTGTATACAAAACCTAGCATAGGGGGGCTTAGCTCCACTGTGAAGGAAATAGACAGATTTCCCAAGTTTCTCAACTGATTATTTTCCACAAAGGAATATGCACCTTAATGAAATTCTGGTCACCCAGTTTCTATAACACTCTATGTTATTCTTCTTGTTTACGCCGAGTGTCATTTTAACAAAATAATCACTACAGTTACATCAAAAATTCCCTAATACACGATGTAGTTAATGTTAACGCAGAGAGTGGGAATGGGTATGTTGTCTTAGAGCATAAAGAAACCGTCATAAATAACACATGTTACATTTATAGAAGAGGGGGGGGGGGTAGAGGGAATAAAAGGAAAGGAGGAGAGTTAGGTTTGGGTTGGCTGTAAATTTTTATGTTTTCACTTTTTACTTTCAAATTAAATATGAGACTATACTGGTTGCCCCGCAGCTGTGGGTATTGCTCTTAAAACAGAGCTCCCGCAGGGCCAGTCGGCGACAGCCACTGATGCACGACCGTTTATCTTGGGAGCAGAAGAGGAGTTACGGACGTGAGAGCCCTGAGAGCCAAGTGGCTTTGGTGCGGGGGTTTGAACCGTTTTTTTAGCCGCCTTCCGTAGAGCAAGGAAAGTACCAACGAGTGGGAGAAGCATGGGGATAATTTACGTCATTGTGTAAATACCATCCGTCCAAAAATTGTGGCACGTTTTTGCAAATCAAAGGGATGGCAATTTTCGGATGCGTAATTTACGCCGTTTTTCTATGATGAAAAAAAGAAAATGGTATATATTCCGGGGAAACTAGGTAAGTAGAAACAAATATGAATTTTCGATTTATATTAAAAATAACAAAACAAAATAAACCTTGAAAAACACAAATTCAACAACAACAACAAATATATATATATTATATATACAAACATTTGAAAGATACTCCAAAATCAGGGAAATCATATCTCGGTGGTTTTGTTTTGCATATTCACTTAAATGAATAAGTGTTTAATAGTTCTAATTTCAAAACTGGGACCTTCTTTTCTTTTTATTAAATGAATTAGAAAAAAGTCTTTCTACATAGTGTTGCCATTGGGAGGCGAGCAATTTCAAGGGCAAAATGCGCGAGGATTCAATTTTATTGACAATGAGTCTTAATTGTTGAAAACATATTTCTAGAAGGCTTCCAATTTCACATCGGATCTTTATATGTTCGGGAAACATTCCCTGCTATATCTCGCCATGGTTGCGAGTGCTCTCGCATATTATAATTATTGATTCTTGGGAATTCTTAGCAGGTGTAGTCAAGATGGCAATGTAGGTCTATAGTAGTAGTCATTATGTTTTTGGGCGTAGGTACGATGCCATTATCATAATGAATTTCCAGATCAAAATTTTCTGATTTGGTCACAGACTGTTATTAGACAGGCTCTGTACGTGGTTTTTATTTCGGTCATTAATTGATGGTTTGGTATTGAGGGGTCTGGGAAGAGGCTGTGGATATCTCGCCGAGGTATATTTGTTGGACTGGCAAATGTATTGAGCGGTCCGAGGATTGCTTTATTGATTTATTCCTTGTTGATTGTGGCTGACAAAAATAAGTAAGAAGCTCAAATAAATTTGAAATAAGTTCGTGAGCCAAATGTAGAGTTGGACTCTGACGGGGAATAACAAATTTACCTGTTTAAGTGTGGTTAAAATGTAATTTAAAACCTTAAGTAACAATAAATGGCCTGTTATCAAGGGCTCGCAAATTTTTATCCATCGAGCATCTTTCATCCAGGACGAATGCCATTGAAATATAGTTTAAGTGGCTGCCAGCTCAAGCACCGTTCTACAGGCTTGTGCAAGGAACGCCATCTTGTGCACATGGATGCAAAAGTTAATGAGGCTTGAACACCACAAAATGCCTAGTATTTTAAAGTCATATTTTCCTTTTGGCACGTTTTTTTCTGGCTAGAAAAAAGTTGAACATTTCTAATCAAATCCTCAAATTCGGGGAAGTGTGTTTGCCGCTTCGCTGGAGCAAAACGTTATGCTGTGAGCCAACACATCTTAAAAACGGTCATGCCAGGCATCTTGCCTTCAACTGCTGTACACTATATCTATTTACAGCTCCCTAATATTGGATGCTCCATTCAGCAGCAAAGCCAACCTATTGTTAATGGGATTCATAGGATGAAGGAGGTAAGGATTAATTTAAATAATGAATCTCCAGAGGACCCATCATTTCCATCATGCAACATTGATGAGGTCTAGCATGGCGTTTTGAATTTTATTGTCTTCTTTGTCAAAATACTGACAACAAGGCACATGCCTTGCTCCCCCTCGGTGGAGCAGCTGTTGGTCTCATCAATAATCAAACGAATTATTGTTTTGAGTTTGTTGCCAATTCTTTACCTAGAGAAACTCCCTAAATCCTTGGTAATTTGAGAACATTCTTCCTTTTGATGGCCATTTGGGCTGCGATGGCGGAATCAGGAAACATTTTCCTGTCTCAGCTCCAAGAGGTCATCACAAAGCTGGAAAGGAGAAATGGAAAAAAAAAAAATATTTCGAAATGATGATCAATGCACATATAAACACAACAAGATTTGTGGTAAACTCTGAGGTGCCGACGGCCAGGTGTGGTGAGACAGTATGGGGTTATACCTACACTGGTCTGGCTGTGCAATGGTGCGTGCTAGGAGTCGCGGTGGCTGTCTCTGACCGCTTCCGTTCCTCAGTCAAGAGGTTACCCCTGTGGACGGAGGTATTCTGCTTGTGAGAATTGAAGCACACTTGGGCTTCAATCTCTAATTGCAATT